TGTGAAACTTTCAGAAATTTCATTGAAAGTTTCGCAATTTAACGAAAATTTCGCATAAATTTCACATGCGGCCTCCCCTGGGACCTTTAATAATAATTCCGAATCGACCAATAAGAACGAGTTATCAAGCGTCTGGGCGTTTTTGTTTAGTTCGGCTTGGATTTGAATACACTATAAGTAATTATTGTTACTTATATGCATAAATTAATTTAAATAATTTAATTCAGTTACCAATTTAATTTGTAAATTAAATCAGACTTTAATTTTTTTTTAAAGTCATGATTAATTTAAACTTTTACTTTTGCTATAATTGCATCGGAAAACGGATAAAAAATGCCTTTGGCTCATAAAATTTTGATGAAGTTTCTTCAATTTTCGTAAAATTTCAGTAAAATATTTAAAAATAATAAATATATATAAATATAAAACAATGAAAGTGGCACAATCTCATTAGCTTACCAAAAAGTGCTATATCTCTTTTAGTTTTAGTAATTTTAAAAATATTTTAAAAGGAAATCTCAAGAAATTTGTGGTAAACATGGGTATTTACTATTTATATTATTGGTACCCTGCACGTGCAGGGGCCCACAGAGGGGTAGGAGGTAAGAGAGGCAATTTGCCATGGTCCCCGAGTGGGCTTATTTCAATATAAATATATTACACTTAAAGTGAATGAAATTTATTGAAAGTTTCAAGAAATTTCATGAAATTTCAGAAATATAGGAAATTTTAATAGATTTCATAAATGTCATAAAAATTTCAAGTACAAGCAAAAAGTGAAATTTTCCCAACCCTAGTCTTGGCCCTTTACGTTGCAATGGGATATCTGGCAATTTTGCCTTGCATCAGCTGCTGCTTAAACAGTTAAAAACAAACAAGAACTTTTATCTTGGTTAGGTGTGTGAAATTATATGTACTATGCTCCACACCTCAAAGTCCCACCACGTGACCACGTACGGAACGCAGTCTTTTGAAAATTTGGCATTTAAGGCTTTTTAGGTTATGTATCTGTCAAAGTATAGTCAACGAAAGAAATAACGCAGTGACTACGTGCACGTTAGAGTGCCTGCAATTTAGTTTTTACGGGCACGCTAGCGACGTAATGGATGAAATTCGTCATAAATTGACGTGCCGCCAGGGTTGCCAACTTGAGATGCACATTATAGTATTTTCTCAATTTAATAGAAGTTAGAATTTTAATAAAGACAGCTTTTTTATTATATTATATAATATATATTATCTATTTTCAAAAAACGTTTGTTGTGACAATAACTCCAATTTCAAAGATACCTTTATTATACAGGCTATATATAAAAGTTGTTAAACTACTCAAAATAGCGTAGAATATATATATTCTCTTATCGGCGACACTGCTGTGCAATGTTGCCATCCCGTAAAAGATGAACAATACGAAAACCGTTTTGTTTATAGATTTCCGTATTTATTCGCTAATTTTTATGTTTTTTTAACTAAATTTCTTCAAACTTGCTTAGTCTACTTTTATTTATAAAATCGCCTTTGATTTTAACCTTTAGAAAATAACACAAATTAAATTAAATTTTTAAACCCTAATAACTCAAAATGGCGCATAATTTTTGGGAAACTGTATATTTGAAATTAGATTATTTGAGTATTAATAAAATAATAAATAACAAATATATCTATAATTAAAATTTGTCACCCTTAACGTAATATATATTACATATGTTTATCGCGCAAGTCTGACTCACCCTTTTTTTGTTTTTGCTGATAAAAATAATTATAATCCCTACAACGTAATCAACCATTTAGTTGTAATTTGGCTTTGATATGACAAACATGCTCATTTATTACTTTGATCTACATCTATAGATGTATTTGTATACAAATTGCTAGGTACCTACCTATATAATATATATTATATTATATAATATATATATACAGGGTGTCTCAAAAGTCAAGGACAGCAGAAAAGAGGTAAATAGAGAATGGGATTCTAAGTCGAATGGAATTTGCCGTTTTTCGATCAGACGCACCATTAATTAGTTATTAATAAAATAAAGTAGCCAATCACAGGCGTGTTTTAGCAGACTGATTAGAGGTGGGACAACACAAACTTTTGTAAAAATTCCATAGCTATGAACATGTCATATGTGAAATGACCTTAAATTAATTTATTTACTGTCACTGTCAGTGTTTTGGTTTTTTAGGTTCAGTAGAAATGTTTATTTTTTTGTGTGGGACAAATAGGTACCTACCTACCTATCTTTTTGTTATTTTTTTTAACTTGCGAATTATTAAATAAGTAAATACAAGGTTGATGGTGATATACTTTACTATTACTTTTTATTAAGTAAAAATAATTACTTTATTAATAATTAATTTTTACATTATTATTTAATTAGAGATATTTTTATCCCTGATGAATATGACATACATTGTAATGTCATTTTTGTTAAAAAAACTTTAACAACTTTTTGAAATGCCTCGCGCTTATACTGTTGCCGAACGTGCAGACATGGTCCGTATTTATTACGAATATGCTCACAATGCTGCGGAAGCTGCACGCCAGTATCGAATACAATTTGAAGGTGTGCGTGTTCGGTTTCCGAATCATGCTTCAATTCTCCGAGCGGTTCAGGATTTTAATATGAATGGCAACGTTTTACCGGGTGCTGCTGAACGCGTTGGCCGACCACGAACAGCTCGCAGCCTTCATAATGAAGAACGCGTTCTTGAGGCCATTGCAGCTGATCCTGGAACTAGCACTCGCCAACTTGAACGTGGATTGGAGATCTCCGCAGCACAGTTAACTGCATAACTAAGGGCAACGCACTACATCCTTACCACGCTACCAAGGTACAACATCTGGAACTTGGAGATTACGAGATGAGAATACAGTTTTGCAATCAAATTCTCAATATGCACTGTGAAGACCCTAACTTTCTGAGGCATGTATTGTGGACTGACGAATCACCCTTCACTCGTGAGGGGTGTTTTAATCCCCATAATGTGCATCAGTATGCGATTGAAAACCCACATTTTGAAAGGGTGCAAAGTTTCCAGCACAGGTGGAAAATTAATATGTGGGGCGGTATTATCGGAGATACCGTTATTTTATATCAATTACCAGAAACGCTAAACGTAAGTTAAAAAAATGATCAATTTATATTTTCATGAGTTGATCATACAATTTTTTGATTATTTATTAGGGAAACTCGTACTTGGCATTTTTGCAAGAGGTTCTTCCAGGGTTGCTCGAAGAAGTTGGAGAGCGTCCTCAGTACTTCCAGCATGATGGTGCACCGGCTCATTACTTCGGTCGTGTCCGGGATCACCTAAATGCTGAGTACCCACGATGCTGGTTTGGGAGAAACGGCCCGTTTCGTTGGCCCCCAAGATCACCGGACTTAACACCTCTGGATTTTTTCTTGTGGGGATACATGAAGGACGTCGTTTACAAAACCGTGCCCGAGGATCAGCTTGACACTCTGGAGCGGATTCGATTATCGCAAGCAGACATAACACCAGAAATGCTGGAGAACGTCAGAACGAATATCATTAAACGTTGTGAAAAGTGCTTGCAGAGAAATGGAGGAACCTTTGAGCATCTCATGAGATAAAGGACCGAAGACTATTTAAAAAACGGCCCTTCTTAAGGCCACCAAGTTTCCCTAAAAAAAAAGAATGCCTTTAGTTACCCAGAGAGCCATACCCACATAACACAAAAATATATTGAAAATATTGAATGAATATTTTTGCTAAATGAACTAAATATTGAAGAAATATTAGACATTATTATTTAAATGCTAAAAATACAAGAAAATTTAGTACACGTCTTAATAAAAAATATTTATAAAAAAATTTATTTTAGAAATAATCGATATAAATAAAAGTAAAATATTTAAACACAAAAATTATTTGAAAAAAAAAGTTTATTTAAGAAATAATCGATATAAATAAAAGTAAAATATGTATACAAAAATTAATTGAAAAAAATCACGGAAATAAAAGAAATTTTTTTTTCCTACAGTCTTGGGTTTTCTGCTAATCATCATCATCTCTTACTTACTTTGTTTTCTATTATGAATTGCTGCCTAAAGATTCTTTGTTGAAATTCTACTTTTGAAATTCATTGAACAATCATATTTTACCTTCTTGCTTAGCATCAAGTTCATCCAGCATCTGAAGTACTAAAATTCAGATGTATTACAGTTAATGGCTTGCACGATTTTTGTTTTAGATACCCCAACACCTGCACGTCCAGTGCGCGTTATTTTAGAACACACTTCATCTGAAGGCTGCATAGAAATAATACTAGTATTATTTCTATGGAAGGCTGCTTTAACAATTAAATTCAACCTGCCTACGACGTCCTCGTCAGCGACAAATTTAAAGTAGCTAACATATAACATAACAATAAAAAACATTCATGTTAATGAGTAAAAGTAAAGTAAAACCTTGGTTCTCTGGGTAAAACTAACCTAAAATCTAAAACACTGACAGTGACAGTGACAATGTCAACCATATAATTAAGGTAATTATACACAACGATTTTATACAGAATTTCTAAGATTACGCTGCACATTATAGTCCTCCCACCTCTAATCAGTCTGCTAAAACACGCCTGTGATTGGCTACTTTATTTTATTAATAACTAATTAATGGTGCGTCTGATCGAAAAACGGCAAATTCCATTCGACTTAGAATCCCATTCTCTATTTACCCCTTTTCTGCTGTCCTTGACTTTTGAGACACCCTGTATATATATATATATATATTATATTATATTATAATACGTATTATTAGAATTATATTACCATCTCGCCCTTAAGATCACTTACTGTAGTACCTCTATTTACTCACCTTAACACGCACATCTTTAAAGCTAAATCAAATTTAGCGCCAGATATTCGCTGCAGCGTCACCAACTCCGGCAACGCTGTACTACAATTCATTACTCTATTGTGCGTACCAAAACACACACGCGTTTTGCCAAAAACTGTGAAAAATTTATTAAAATGCCAAAAAGAAGTAGATCACCAGATTCGTCTGACTCTACGGATTCAGAAGAGGAAGTAAGACGTCAAATTCGAAGATTAAAACGATACTTACGAAATGAAAAGAAAAATAGAGGGGCGTCGCCATTACTGGAGCCTCTGGAGGATGAAAACAAAGAAAACGACTATGATTCAGTCTATTCCGAGCAAACCCTCGGTAATAGTAAGTATCTAATTGTTTTATTTGAAACTTATTGTTTTAGATAATAAAGGAATATATGGTAAAAAATCGGCGTGTTACGCCAAGACATAGAGAAATAATTTTGATTTTTCTATGCGCCAACACATAGTTAAAATGTTAATGGGTGTTTTACACAATAATGCAGCTTTTCATGCTGCAATTACGGCGTGTTACGCCAGGTTAATAACAGAAAAAAGCTGTAAATATAACCTAACCTATAAACCGGCGTGTTACGCCAAAATAGGAAAACTATTACTAAGTGTGTTACACTGTTAATAGAGCATTTATACTGCAAAATGGCGTGTTACGCCAGATTAATAACAGCAAAAAAAAGTGTAAATATATTATAACCTAACCTATAAGCCAGGTTACACCATTATTGGTAAACTGTTAATGGGGGTGTTACATACTTAATAAAGCATTTTATGCTGCAATAATGGCGTATTATGCCAGGTTAATAATAGCAAAAAATTGTATATTTCTTTATTATGTAGATCTTTAATTGTTTGTAACACAATTTAAGGTATATACCTACATATAAATATTTTTTCAGAATCTCAAGATGAATCATTGATAGAAGAAAAGGAGGAGGAGCCGCCTTTGGAGGAAAATATATTAAAAATTATTGGGTTAGATCCATCAACAAAAAAGACAGAGTGCACTATTCATAAATCTTTAGCTGATGTATGGAAGTTAATTCTACAGGATGGTTTGGCCAAAGATCAGTTGGAAGAATTACTTCTTAAATACCAGGCCTTTTCAAACTGTCCATTGATGCAACCACCCAGGGTTAATCCAGAAATAAAAGCTTCAGTAAGTGAATCGTCTTTAACCCGAGACTCACGCCTGTTAGCCATTCAGAATCGTCTTTGCTCAGCTTTGTCTTCTATAGGCAGTGCTTTATCTATCCTCTTTTCAGAGGAGTTAGAAGAACCCAAATGTACAGTAATAAAACTAATTAGTGATGCTGCAAAATTAATTGCAGATGTTCATTATGAACAATCTCAGGCAAGGCGTGGATTGTTAAAGGGTGTTCTTAATAAAGAAATGGCTGACACATTAGTTGAATCCTCAATGGATGGCTGGTTGTTTGGGAATAATTTAACTGAACGTATTAAAGCAGCGAAGCTTTTAGCTAAAACATCAGAGGATTTAAAACTGACTAAAAAACCTAAAACATCGTCAAAATTTTCAAACAAAAAAGTACTGCAACCACAACATTTAAACTACAAGCGTCTTCCTCGTCAACATTATCAGCAGGCTCGACAAGGGGGACAGAAAACAGGCCAACATTACAGTCAATCGAGAAGCAAGTTGAATTCCAGGAGCAACCACCAACCTCTGAACAACCGATACAATTATCGTCAGAAATAATTGCTCCAACAAAAAAGGCAGGTAGACTAAAATTTTTCATAAAAAATTGGGAATTAATTACATTGGATCCAGTTGTTTTATCGTGGATCAGGGGTGTACAGATTCCATTTACTGTGCCTGTTAGGCAATCAGTTCCTTTGCAACACCGAATTTGGTCGGTTAAAGATTTTCAAGATCTTAAATTAAACATTCTTGAATTAATTAATAAAGGTGCCATCTCTATATGTTCTCCTTGTAAAGGACAATTTTTGTCATCTTATTTTTTAGTGCCAAAGCCTGATGGATCAAAACGGTTTATTTTAAATTTAAAAAACTTAAATAAAAATTTAAATCCTGAACATTTTAAATTGGAGGACAAAAAACTTGCTGCAAAATTAATGCAACAAGGTTGCTATATGGCCACCTTAGATTTACAGGATGCCTATTTTATGGTACCTATAGCCAAAAAATTTCGAAAATACTTAAGATTTGAATTTAATCATGTCTATTATGAATTTAATTGTCTTCCCTTTGGGTTAAGCATAGCACCTTGGGTGTTCACAAAAATAATGAAACCTGTTTTGGCCTTTTTGCGAAAGAGGGGTTTTTTATCGGTAGCCTATTTAGACGATATATTAATTTTTGGTCAATCTTATAGAGATTGTCTCGTAAATATTCAACAAACATCAAAGTTGTTAACTAACTTAGGATTTATTATTAATGAGAATAAAAGTGTAACAAAGCCTAGCAAAAAATGTAAATTTTTAGGTTTTCTTTTTAATTCAGATAATATGTCCTTGGGGGTGCTAAAAGAAAAACAGTTCCGTATTAAAAAATTATTAGAAGAGGTTCTACAAAACCCAAATGTAAAAATAAGGTTTCTAGCTCAGATAATTGGGACATTAATCTCCGTTTGCCCGGCATCAAAATATGGCTGGCTTTACACAAAATTGTTAGAACGACATAAATTTTTAGCTCTACTAAAGTCAAAAGACAATTTTGAAGCTATGACAACGCTACCACACTCGGTGTTACAGGACATAAAGTGGTGGCACTCAAATATTGTAAATTCCTTTTGTCCAATTAGAAAATTTAATTTTCAAACGGAAATATTTTCAGACGCTTCCACTACTGGGTGGGGAGCGGTCTGTGATAAAGATAAAGCTCATGGACAATGGAATTTGGAGGAAAGCCGTATGCATATAAATTACTTAGAACTTTTAGCGGTTTTCTTTGCCTTAAAATGTTTTGCCAGTACCATGCGGGATTGCGAAATTTTGCTCCGTGTGGATAATACCACAGCTATTGCATACGTAAATAAAATGGGGGGCATACAATTTCCTAATCTCCACAAATTATCAAGAAAAATTTGGAGGTGGTGTGAAGCCCGTAATTTGTGGATTTTCGCTTCGTATATTAAGTCCTCGGAAAATTTTGAGGCAGACAAAGAATCACGTCGAGTTTCGCTGGAAACTGAATGGTCCTTAGCACCAATTTATTTTAAAAAGATTTTGTCGAGTTTTGGCAAACCATATATCGATTTGTTTGCTAGTAGAAATAATAATAAATGCAGTATTTACGTTTCCTGGAAAAGAGATCCAGAGGCCTTTACTATAGATGCATTCACTTTCAATTGGAAAAATATTTATTTTTATGCCTTTCCTCCTTTTTCGTTGATTCCAAGAGTTTTACAAAAAATAAATTTTGATAAGGCCTTGGGAATACTTGTTGTACCGAATTGGCCTAATCAGCCATGGTATCCACTTTTTATGTCCTTATTAATTAGTGATCCGTTAATTTTGGGCCCTAATTCAGACTTGCTTTCTTCCTTTAACAGATACCACCCTCTGTCATCGACCCTTACCCTGGTGGCAGGAGTATTATCAGGATGTCATTCCTAAGAAAAAACTTACCTGTAGCAGCCTTAGAAATAATTACCTCTTCAATTAGTGATTCCACACTGCGCCAGTATAATAGTTCCTGGAAGAGATGGTGGATTTTTTGTAAAACAAACAAATTTGATGTTTTTGATGGAACAGATTCATTTATTTTAAATTTTCTTACTGGAATGTTTAATGATGGTGCTTCTTATAGTGTTATAAACACTGCCAGGTCAGCGCTGTCCTTCCTAATATCCCCTGATGTAGGAAATAACTATAAGATTAAACGGTTTTGTAAAGGAATATACAACTTGAGACCCTCTGCTCCACGTTATGATTCAACCTGGGATCCATCAGTTGTATTAAAATATTTGACAACAATTTTTCCCAATGAGACAGTAAGTCTAGAAAAGCTTACTATAAAGACGGTAACCTTGTTAGCACTAATTACGGCTCATCGTCTACAAACCTTTGCCTTAATTCAGATAGAGAATATTGAAGAAAAACAGGATGGAATCGAGATAAAGATTCCTTTAAGGATAAAGACGTCAGCAAAGGGGAAAAATCAACCTACTTTATTCCTTCCAATTTTCGAGGAAAACTTAGCAATTTGTGCAGCTACTACCTTAAGGTCTTATTTGGAAAGAACAAAAAAGATTAGGGGTTTAGAAAACAGACTGTTTATTACTTATAAAAAACCATATCGACAAGCTTCCACTCAATCTTTGGGTAGATGGATAAAGTCTGCTATTAAGAATAGTGGAATAGATACCAACAAGTTCTCGGCGCATAGTACGAGACATGCTGCAGTTTCGGCAGCAAATAGAAAGGGTGTTAGTGTTGAAATTATCCGCAACACAGCAGGATGGACCAAAGATTCGGAAGTTTTTGCAAGATTCTATAATAGACCCTTAACAACTCAAGGAATTTTTGCAAATGCTATCTTAAACATTTAGTTTTTAAGTAAATTTTATTTTGTTAAGTTCATTTAGATTAAAGAGATTTATTTCGCAATAATGGCTTTAAATATCTACAGTAAGTGATCTTAAGGGCGAGATGGTAATATAATTGTAAGATTAAACGAACTTACCAAGTGAAGTTCAATCTTAATTATATGTACCATCTCGCCTGAAAAGATCACTCCCACCCTTTTTTAAAATTATGTAATATTTTTCCCGGCCCGGATTTTTTCAGTTGCGAAATAATGTGGGCTTTAAAGTTAATGAATTGTAGTACAGCGTTGCCGGAGTTGGTGACGCTGCAGCGAATATCTGGCGCTAAATTTGATTTAGCTTTAAAGATGTGCGTGTTAAGGTGAGTAAATAGAGGTACTACAGTAAGTGATCTTTTCAGGCGAGATGGTACATATAATTAAGATTGAACTTCACTTGGTAAGTTCGTTTAATCTTACAATTCTAAAGCATCTATTATCTCAAATATTACTACGATTTTTTTTGATATTTAAAAAAATAAAAACATAAAAGTTGCAGCCCTTAAATCGTCTAATGGTATTTTTTTCTAGGTTCAACATGTGATAGCATTAACCCATGGATAATAAAAAATAAGACAACCATATAAGGATAATACGATTTAACCAGAACTCATCAAGGAATTTGGCAAGTACCTACACCGAGAGAAATAGTCTGGGTATAGTTAAAAAATGATTTGTTTTAATATATTTGGTAAAATATAATAAATAATTCTTCTATATACCAAATCAGCACTTCTTAGTAACTATATTCAGAATTACTTAAGTTTATTTTGAAAAAATGATTTGGTTCACTGTATTTGGTTATAAAAAACAAATATAGTTTAATAATAACAAACCATTTTCAAATAGAGTTTGTATGAATAAATCGAGTTGTTGCTTGCTTATAAAAAACAAATGCAGGATAAAACACGTTGATTATTCGCCGTAGATGCTTTAGTTCGGCCATTGTGTTAGTTTGTGCAAAGGGAGTGGACGCGTTCGGACGTGCTGTATAGTTTATACCTAAATTAGGTAAATATCGATACATTTTTGATTGAAAATAATTTAACAGAGTTAAGTTCCTCATTTAATAATATAATATATATATAATAATAATATTTTTCTAAATTTGTAAATGAAATAAAAAGGCTGCCATCACCTCCCAAAATTTAATTTGTTATGTTTTTTAAGTTTAAGAATTTTAAATTAAGATGTTTAGTTTACTTAAGTTTAAGATGTTTAGTTTACTTTACCAAAAAAAAAAGTTTTTGTTTGCAAACATGTTTTTTAAGGAAAATGTTTTTTATTTTTTATTAAAATAAAATGTATTGTTATCAATGGCCGAGTGTTATTTAATATAGAAAACCCTAATTTTTATAAAAACGCTAAATTATAAAAATACATGTTTTGTTTTAATAATACAGGGTGTTTCAGACTTGTGGTGCCAAAAGCTCGGAGGAGATTCCTCTCATCAAAATATGAAAAAAAAGTTCCTATGAACAAGTGTCCGAAAATGCTTCGTTACCGAGATACAGGGTGTTTTATTTAAAAAAAAAAGTTTAAATTTCATACTTTTTTGTTACAAAAATAATCATAATAATGTATAAAAAAGTGTTTTTAAGCTATAAATAAAAAACTAAATTAAAAAAAAAAACAAACACCCTGTATCTCGGAAACGAATCATTTTCGGACACATATTCATAAAAACTTTTTTTCATACTTGAGAGGAATCTCCCCTGAGCTTTTGGCACCACAAGTCTAAAATACCCTGTATATTACTTATTTTTTAAAACAAAACGATTTGTTAACAAAAAAAGATCATTTGTTTTTTATAAATAAATATATTTTTTTTTTAATAAAAATTTGATTCTTATAAATAAATAACTTATTTATTACGACTAATTAGTTTGGTTTTAATAACCAAAAACAAATTATTAAGTAAATATGACCAAATGTCTTGAAGCTAATCATTTGTTTTTAATAACGTAGCCGTTTGTAAGTCAAATACTGAATAAAGCATTTGGTTATAAAAATGCAGATTTGGTAATAAAAACCATTTTTTTCTCTCAGTGTACCAATTAATTATTTACCAATGGATAATAAGAAATAAGACAACCATATAAGGATAATACGATTCAACCAGAACTCATCAAGGAATTTGGCAAGTACCT